CTTGCTAAGTGAACTCGCATTATAAATGTTGTTCTGAGAATGTGTTGGCTGAAGCTGGGTTTCTATTGATTTTAGGGGAAATGTAAGTCCTAAGGGAGGTCACATAGTGGACAAGTAGTTGGGGGTCTGTTCCCGGCCCCTTAAGTACCATTAAGGCCCTGTGGTTTTCCAAAGTCCCTTAATGTTTTTGGATTCCATTCTCAGGGTCAGGCTGGCTGGTCTCTAAATCTCTTTTACCTCTAGCTCTCTGTCATCCAGTCAGCCACTACGGGATCTAGTGATATTAGGGAAAGGAAAATAAAGATGGACATTTGTGCTTAAGCTTGACACCAGACATAGGATATCAATTAAATTGTGTATTATTCTCACATGCTGATGAACTCAAGGCTTCTCTTTGTCTTTAACATGTGAGCTATGTATAATGAGACAGTGCTGTGCACTTAGAAGTTTATTAATGTAGGTCATATTTTCATGTTTAGTGGGTTTGTTATTGTTTTGTTTGTTTGAGGCAGGGTCTCTCTGTCACCAGGCTGGAGCGTAGTAGCATGATTACGACCCACTGTAGCCTCAACCTTTCCAGGCTCAGGTGACCCTCCCACCCAAGTAGCTGGGACCACAGGCATGCACCACCACTCCAGGCTAATTTTTGTATTTTTAGTAGAGATGGGGTTTTGCCATGTTGGCCAGGCTGGTCTCGAACTCCTGGGCTCAAGTGATCCATCCACCTCAGCCTCCCAAAGCGCTGGGATTACAGGAGTGAGCCACCATGCCAGGCTAAGTGTTTGTACCATACACACACACACACACACACACACACACACGGAAATCTTTGGCTATGATAGATATGTTTATTACCTTAATTGTGGTAATGGTATCATGGGTGTATGCATCTGTCCAAACTCATAAAATTGTTTACATTAAACATGCAGTTTTTTGAGGTGTTTTAGTTATACTTCAATAAAGCTGTTTTGGCTGGGTATGGGGGATCACACCTGTAATCATCCCAACACTTTGGGAGGCCAAGGCAGGCACATCATCTGATGCCAGGAGTTCCAGATCAGCCTGGCCAACCTGGTGAAACCCCATCTCTATAAATACAAAAAAATTAGCCGGGTGTGGTGGTGCATGCCTGTAGTCCCAGCTACTTAGGAGACTGAGGCAGGAGAATCACTTGTACCCGGGAGGTAGAGGTTGCACTGAGCCGAGATTGCACCACTGTACTCCCTCTTGGGTGACACAGCGAGACTCTGTCTCAAAAAAAAAAAAAAGAAAAAGGCTGTTTTAAAAAATATGAACTATATACATTTTGAAATATAAATTTCAAAAATACAAAGATAGAGAGAGAAAAGGAATTTTTTCAAAAACCAACGAGAGGTTTAAGTGCTTTGAAGACCAAGTCCCTAGATCACAATTAAGTATTTGGGGGAAGAACTACTAGGCGGAAACATTGTGAAACTTACACTCTGTAACAGCGCTGACCGATAGAACTTTCTACAGTGGTTGAAATGTTCTGTATCTGAGCTGACAACACGGTAGTCACTAGCAACATGAACTGTAGAGCACATGAAAGAAATGTGGCTAGTACAACTGAGGAACTATATTTCTACCTTGTATTTAATTTTAAGGAGTCACAATCCCACTGTAACACTCCTTTCAAACAAAGCCTTTCAATAAAATAAAGTTCTGAGTTTAGTTTATACAGAAAATGCGTTTTGTTGTCAAGCATCTCTATTCCAGTGATTAATAACATTAACAAACAGGTTTGTAAAATGCTGGGGCCTAGTCCACCTCTTAATTTCTTGAAAGTTTTAAAGATGAGGCCTTTGAGATAATCTGGTAGGCCCGGGCCCCCTAGTCCATCCCAGCTAAGAGCAGCAAAAAGGATGTTGGGAGTGTTTAGGACTGAACAATTCAGGGCAGTGGTCTCAGAGACTCAAGACGTTCTATGAATATGGGAGATTCGGAGCAAATCCTCAGAAAAGGAAGCATTTCTTTTTTTTTTTTTTTTTTTTTTTTTTTTTTTAGCTGGGGTCTCGCCCCATTACCCAGGCTGGAGTGCAGTGGTGCTATCACAGCTCACTACAACCTTAACCTCCCAGGCTAAGAGATCCTCCTACCTCAGCCTCCAAAACAGCTGAGTCTACAGACGTGCACCACCCTGCCTGGCTAATTTCTAAATTTTCTGTAGAGATGGGATCTCACTATGTTGCCCAGGCTGGTCTCAAACTCCTGGGCTGAGTAATCCTCCCGAAGAAGAGCTGTCATTTTTAAAAAAAAGAAAAAAGTGGTTGTTAAATACCAAACTTGTCTTCCTTTGTTGCTTTTTCCTTTCAGGAGCTTATTGACGTTGACAGTGAAGTGGTGTTTGAATTAGCTTCCTATATTTTACAGGTAAGTTGTTTTTCTCCTCCTCTTTATGTCCCAGGGCCATACACAGAAGAAAGGAAATAAGACTTACCGGGCATAGCCAGTAGCTGTGTCCACTCACTATTTGTCATCTTACCTTTTTTTAGCCATAAGCTGCATAGAGCTATTAGAGACACTGATGGAAACCATAGCAATAAACAGGGGCTTGTAGTATTTCAAAATTTTAAGACAGCAAATCCCTGTAAAGCAAAGTTGTGTGTTTAACCTGAGCCTGGGAGAAACTGAGGTCATTTACTGACCCCATTTTCTTTGGGTTTGGTACTTTCACCCTGGAGAAAGCCAAGTGAATAGCTAGAGTTAGTGGCCAAAAAATCATGTTCTGCCCCCTGGAAAGACAAGGAAAAGCCCTTTAGGTTATGCAAAAAAAAAATAATAATAAGGTGTTGTAGAATATTAGCTTAGTAGTGGCAAGATGAGTTAAAATGATATCATTTCTTTATTCCTTCAATAAGTATTTATTGAGCAACTACTATGTTTAAGGCATTATACTGGATTCACTAAAGTTTCTCTGGTCCCTACCTCTAGAGTCTTCAGTATAATTGAGGACTAGCATAAAATACAAACCAAAACAAAAAGTGACCCTAGAAATAGACAGTTCTATCCAGATACATGTTCATATTTAGAATCTTTAAACTAGAACATGTCAGACCCGGGCTTTGAGGTGGAGATGTACATTTTGTCATTATCAATCACTTTCTTTGTCTATAACTTTCTAGAGTTTAATTTCATGTCTCATATTCAAATAGCAAACGTATGCATTCTGTTTTAATTGTATTCCTGCAGCAAATAGGATGATAACTGCAGGAAGCTGAACTCATCTCATTCAGTAGAGAAACTCTCATGGTTATAGAATGTACTTTAGAGTCTCTGACACTGGCTTAGTGTACTTCGCTGATGTTGAATTTTTTCTTCTACAGGAGGCAAAGGGAGATTTTTCTAGGTGAGTTTACAATTTTTTGTTGTTGTTGTTTAAAATGTAAACCCTTGCTTCTCTATTAAAAAGAACTATTCAGGATGTCCTTTTCAGGTGGACAATTTATTCATGTTGTATGTTAATGATGAGATCTAACTCTCAACTTGTCCATTGAAACAGATAGATCAGGTAGAGAAAACATAGTAATAGCAAGGATGATGTTCTCTACTATATGCAGAGCCCAGAGATTACTGGAAAGCTGACATTAGGGCCCAGCGTCACACATGCCTATTGTCCCGAGGTTGGACAGGCTGCTCAAATGTCTCATAGAGGCTGGAATCACCATTGTGGTGTAAATATGGTTGCAGATAACCCGTCAGTCCTGACAAGTAGGTGGACATCTTTTTTTCTCTCAATGTAGTCCCTACCCCTCAAGGGACAAAATGCTGTCTTCTAGGGAAATTTCATTCGTGAAAGTGTTACAACATAAAACTACCGCACCTCTGCTTTGCTTCTGTCTTAGGATATTGTGTTGGAGAAAACATAAACAGACAACTACTGGGAATCTGTAAATGTCATTAATAGCCTTGTAAAACTGCAAACTCGTCATTTATTTCAATCCTCACCGTGTGTTGATCAGTATGGCTGAAATTGCCCTGAAATCTCTCGTGATCATCACCAGACCCGGAAGAGAACAGAGAGTGTAGCCAGCCACCAGCAGGACTGTCTGCTCAAAGGCAGACGTTATTCCTGGGATTCTGTTTGATTAAGCTCCTCTGAAAAAGAAAAAAAAAGAAAAGGCCAGGGTAACCCGTTCTGGAGAATCTAGGTTTAGAGGCAAACAGTAAACCGTATGAACAGGAAAGGAAGGCATCAAGGCATAAGGTTCTGGCCCATCAACAGGAAATTAGCAAATTGGTATTAAAAAGAAACACAAATCGGACCTCTGCTCCACCTAAGAACCTGTCTGTTTCCCCATGCTTTGAGGGATTTCATCTGTAAATGCAGCAAAAACTACTTCTGTTAGTGGCCACCTGTACTTGGCTGTCTTTGTCACCGGTTTTTCAGGTCTCAACTGCTTTCTCCTTGCTCTCCTGGTACATTTCTCAGGCTTTCTTTTTTGCTATTATTATTTTTTAAATTTTTTCAGAGGCAGGGTCTCCTTCTGTTACCCAGGCTGGAGTGCAGTCATGGCTCACTGTCACCTCCAACTCCTGGGCTCGAGTGATCCTCCTGCCTCAGCCTCCCAAGTAGCTGGGACCACAGGCATGAGTCACTGCACCGGGCTAATTCTTTTTTTTTTTTTTTTTTTGTAGAGATGAGCTCTCACTGTGTTGACTGTTCTCAGTCAGACATCTCAGCAAAAGCAAAAAATTATTTTACAGTCTAAAACAAGGATGAGCAAGCTTTTTCTGTTAAGGGCCAGATTGTCAGTATCTTGAGTTTTGCACGCAGCACGATCTCTGTTGCAATTACACCACTCTTCCTAAGTGCAAAAGCAGCCCAATAGGATAAGTAAATGGATGAGCCTGATTATGTTCCAATAAAAGTTTATTTATGGATACAGAAATTTGAATTTCATATAAATGTTCATGTATCACAAAATATTCTTCTTTTGAGTTCTTTTTCTAATCATTTAAAAATGTAAAAGCCATCCTTAGTTCATGAGTAATACATAAGCAGAGGACTGGATTTGTCCAGGGGGTTGTAGTTGCTGACTCTGATCTCAAATGCCATCTCTTCAGCTCTGATTGAATATTTGCATAAAGAGACCTCCCCCCTTTTATTTAAGTTTTCCAAGTTTTTGGTATAAAGCAGTGGTAGTCAAATTTTTAAATAGATAATGACTGTAACTAGCTTTGGCTGGAGACCTTGAACTTTGTAGGTGGCCAGTAACCATTTACTGAATTTGCTAAACATGTTTTCCGATTATAGAAACTAAATCTTGTTACAATTCTTCTTTGCTACTTTTTTATGACATTAATTTGGCCTTGGAATTTGGGGTTTTGATAAGTGCCAGTCCATATCTACTTACAAAGATTTCTGAAGTCCCATGAAAAAATGATTTAAAAACCACAAATCCAATGGATTCCAGTGTCTAGTCTACTTACTCACTTTTTTCCTTCCACATTTCTTTCGCCCGCTCTGAACTCTGCTGTAAATATTATTTATTTTGAGAGTACCCTGACAGGATGGAATGTGAACTGGGAATAGCATGATCTGGCCCCGCGGATCATGGGAACGTGTGGCCACATGGATTGCCAGGGAGAAGGAAGTGCAGGCTTGGCCTCCACAGTAATTCATGGCCCCCTAATGAGCTTCTGGAATGCTAGCTTGTTGGCTGAATTCAAAGAAACAAAGGATCTGGGTTGTGCTCCATTTGTCAAAGTGCTACTGCTACCTAGCAGTTTGTTTGTAAGCGCAGCTGTCTGGGAAGAGAAATCACTGTCAGGAGAGGGGAGAGGTCAGACACCTTATCCAAAAGGTCAGTTTATCTCACAGCCTAAAACCTACACCATGGACAGTGGGGGTGATCTGTTACATGGGAGTCTCTGATAAACACCCTTTTTCTATAGCAGGCTCACGCTAGTAAAGCCATCTTCAGAGGTCCGGAGAAACTAGTACACACTCAAGGCCTAAAATTTTGGAGTAAGAGAAGTAATTCTAAATTCCTTCCCATCTACTTCTGGGAAGATACCCAGCACGTCAAAATTGACCACACTTGGTTCAGCGGCTAAACATTAGGTATTTTAGATGTCCCATTCTCATAACTTATGTAATTTATATAAACAAATTTATTTGTGATTTATTGTAGAAAGTTGTTTTTGCTATTGATGCAGGATTTTTTGCTCCTTAGTTCAACTAAAATCCAGCTTCTTGTCTCACGACCAGGAAAAATTAGGCACATAGACAAATGGAAGGGGGAGGAGAGTGGATTATTAAGTGAAAAGAAGGCTCTCAGCATAGAAGGAGAGGCTCCCCACCTCACAGATTGAATATCAGTCTCCTCCCCTACATAAGGCACGAATTCTTGGTGGCTCCACCCCCTTCTCCCAGTGCACATGTGGGCCCCGGTCCCTTGTAGGCACACCCCCGGGCAAGACCCTGTGTGGGTTTCCTTATCTGCATCTGCATGCCTCCTGCATCTATCACTGTTATTAAATGCATGACTATATAACCTCAGTTTTATTTAAAGGAATGGCTTTGATTTCCATACTGTAGTTTTCCTGAACAACATTAATAAAATACCAGCCAGCTTAGAACACACCGAACCCTAGAAAAGGCTTTTCTAGATATAACACAGGGTCCAGGGCTAAACTCTAAGATCTTCTAAAATCTAGAGGATCCAATAATCTTTTAAATGAGTGGCCATCCACAAAAAATAAAGTAACTCTTTCATAGCCTGAGAAGTCCTGAATCCATAACTTCCCAAAAGGCTATTTTCTTCAGGATACTATTATCCTAGATATTTACATTTCAGGGACTATATCCAAATTACATTTATGTGGAATGAGTATTAATCCATAAATTATGAGAGCAGTTTCCTTGAGGTACAAGAGAAAAGGGTATTGCTTTTACAAAAGAGAAGTCCAGGGCTGGGTGCACTGGCTCACGCCTGTAATCCCAGCACTTTGGGAGGCCAAGGCAGGTAAATCGCCTGAGGTCGGGAGTTCAAGACCAGCCTGGCCAACATGGTGAAACCCTGTCTCTATTAAAAATACAAAAAGTAGCCGGGTGTGGTGGCGTGCGCCTGTGATCCCAGCTACTCGGGAGGCTGAGGCAGGAGAATTGCTTGAACCCAGTTGGCGGAGGTTGCAGTGAGCCGAGATGGCGCCATTACACTCCAGCCTGGGTGACAAGAGCAAAACTCCCTCTAACAAAAAAAAAAAAAAAAAAAAGACGAAGTCAAAAGTGCTGATACACCTTAATGGAAAGAGAACTATATAAGTCAACTCTGAACTGTAGCTACTGTTTCTCATGAAACTCACTTGCTCTTCCGTTTCTTCTTTTGGACTCTCTGTTTTGCTCAGCAGATGCCTGAAGGCTTATTCTTACATACCTCTTTTCTTTCCCATTAACAGAATAGCTCACTTCCTTGTCTTATTGGACTTTACGCTGAAATGTCAGGTTTAGCGTGCTGAGAGAAAATGACTGTAATATAGATAGATAATTAGTATCGCCTGCCATAGGAAGAGCTACAGACCACACATGTTCATATTCTACCAAACGGAGGACAAATTTGTACGATGCCTCTAAAGGTTTAGGAAATAGTCTTATCTAAAAATAACATTTTTTCACTTTTATTGTTTTCCTTAGCACAGCATGTAGTAATCTCGTTTCATTTCCTGATGTATATACATGTAAAACAAAAAACCTCATGTCTGTCGACAGTCAGGAAGTCAGTAGAGTTGGCATTTCTGTTTAAAAACAATTCGGTAGCCTCCGAGCTGTTAACAAAGGCAGCTGCGGGCCAAATATTTGGAAGAGGAGAACTGATGCAGTTTAAAAACAGCAACAAAAAATATCTTTCGATGATCACTGTTGACCACTGGCCAACTAACTAACAGATTCTTACATATGATTCTATGATTCTTACATATTTGATTCATCAGAAACACCTCAGGGGTTTGGGAATGGAATACTGATGTTTTCTATTTCAAAGCTTTTTTAAAACTCTTGGGTGATGGTAGAAAAACTAATATTCTCTTCCTTAAAAAGATCAGTGCAGAGAATACCTCATTTAATCGACTGATAGGACATCCAATTCTCTAGTTATATTCTAATTTAATTTAACAGAAGTTTTATTGCAACACTGTACTAAGGGAGATATTACATACAAAAACTTGATTTTGGGGGTTTTGTCTCTAAGGGGACCTTAACTGAAAACCTTATCAGCCAATCTCCTTACCCTGATTTTGAGAATCACTTCACCTCTGCCAGCCCTTCTGATCTTTCTAAAAATGTGCTGCAAATTTGCTTAAAATAGTAATTTTAAGCAAAGCATGGTGGCTCACGTCTGTAATCTC